CAGCAGGTTCGTGTAGGTCAGCAATAACTTCAGAGTACCGGTGAAACAACGCGCCATCCCCAGGCCTGCAGCTCAGCCTACCGCACAGCGTAGCGTTGGCCCAACCCTGCAGGACCCACCTCCGAGGGATGCGCAGGAACTGCCGGTTCTCCTCATGCAGCTGCCGGACGTGCTGGGCCTCCTGGGCCGTGAGCAGGCCAGTGCGGCTCTGGGCAGACACAAACTGGATGTTCAGGCGCTCTGTGTAGCCGGTAGGAGAGACCATGGCAGCGTCACCCCGAGCCAGACGCCCGCCGCCACCACTCCCGCCCCTTCTGACCCTTCTCCGGCTCCGGACCCCACGGCCCGCCCTCGCGCCCAGCCCCGCTCCCCTCCCCGGCCACCTCTCGGGCCCCCGAGCCCCTCACCGGCCACGAAGCGAGTGCCGGCGAGCTCCGCCGTGGCCAGGAACTCCTCCAGCGGACTCTGCTCCACCGCCGAGCGCCGCTCCGGGCCGCTCTCGCCCACCACCTCGCTGGCGTGCAGCTGCCGAGACAGAAGCCGCCGTTACCTCGTGAATGCCGGCTCCCCGAACCCCCTTCCGCACCCCGGCCCCTACCCATGACGCGGCGCCGCGCCGCTCCGAGCCGCGCTGCCGCTGCAGAGACCGGCCCAGTCCCGCGCCCCGCTTCCTGCCCATGCGGCCCGCTGGACCCGGAAGTGCGGCCGCCCCGCTTCCTGCGCCCACCCACAGCGCTCCGCCGCTCCCCGCCGCCCCGGAGCCGCGTTCCGGGCGCTGAGGTTCCGGACGTCCCCGCACCGCCGCCGGGGGGCGCGGAGGCTCTGAGCCCGGCCGTGTGCGCGGCGCTCCGCCTCGAGGAGTTCGCCTGCGTTCGCGCCCGGCCGCCCCGCCGCCCGCGCCGCCCCGGAGTGAAACCGCTGTTCGGGTTCTTCATGCAAATCTCGGGAGTCGTTCAGCAACAGCTGCTCGTTTCCAAGCGCGGTGACACCAGCGCGTTTTGCCTCAAGGGAACATTGTTCTTTCTGGGCAGCTTCTCCTCCGTTTTGCTCCCAGGCAGCCCTGGGAGAGCTCAGGACTGTGTCCGAAACATTCATGTGACGGCCATTCATTATTCATGCAGTTTCACAACGCTCCTTTCAGCGGTGTCACCAGCCCCAGCCCCACGAGCAGATATGACACGACCCCCCCCAGTGACACGAAGACAATTCTGCTCTGTGTGGGGTTGCATCTGCCAGCGCCCCCCTTGTCCTCAGCTGCATCCCAGCCCGGGCAGCGCGGCCGGGTGGTGGCCTCACCCAGCGGGTCCAGAGCACAGCTGGGACAGAGAGCCCTGGTGTTGGCAGCGGAGCCACACGGCGTTGGCCATCCGCCCAACGCCCTGGGGTCACAGCGCTCAGGGAGCCTTTGGGAACGGGCTCGCTCCTCTCTGGAGCAGCAGCACCGCAGGGAGCTGTGCGCTGCAGGCTGGGCTCCGGGATGGCAGTGGCCTCGCTGCAGCCTTCGGGTGAGTTGTTTAGACTGCACTTATTCCACAGCCGCAGAGATACAGTCCTGCCTGGTGCAGTGCGGGAAGGTCAACCACACGGCTGTGTGTTGCTGCGGGCAGGAAGCTGCCGAGGTGGCTGCTGCTCTCCACTGCTGCCCGCTGCACGTCGGGCAGAGGACGCTGCCCCGATGCCGCTCTGCCCCTCTGCTGCAGGGGGAGGACCGTGCCCGGTATAGCGCCGTGATCATCCCCAAAGACTAAGGGAGGGTTTGCACCCCGTTCCCCACTGCCTAATAATAGCAGCAGGAAGTGCCGGGGCCGCCTGTGCAGGAAGTAGGGTGTGCCTGCCCTGGGTGGCTGAAAAACAACTGCAGCAAGGGGTGTGTCAGTGTGCGAGGGGACGCACGGCTGTCCCTGCATGGCCCTCTCTCCCTCCCGGCATGGCTCGTTCCATACTCCGGTCCATCGGGATGGGTGGTGCCGCCCTTTGGCACTCATGCAGGTTGGCAGGAGGTGTCAGTTAAAGGCATTAATGACCTTTTCCTTGAAAGCAGAGCATACCTCATGCTGTCTGTCCCCTGCTTGACTGGCACACCTCGGGCTGCCTGAGCACCCAGCAGATAGACGAGGCCAGAGGAGCAGTGTTGGCACAGGGAATGCAGCACCCATCCTGCCCCTGGGCCTGGGACCCACTTTGGCTTTCCATTTAATGGGAAATCCTGACACTTCCTTTGTCTTACTTGAAGCTGAAACTTCAATTTATCACAATTACAGATCCACTACACCGCTTTATTTTGAAAAAATACCAAAATGCCCGTTTGAAATGCTTCATTCTGTCTGTCTGTCTGCTGCTGCAGCAAGACGAGAAACACTGCTACCCAGGCTGTGCTCATAGCTCACACAATCAATAGATCCCCATGCATGTGGCCTCACTGCATCCACTTTTCCCACAGGTGCACTGCCTTGGCAGAAGCATCACATTTCTGCTGCTCTCCCCAAAGCCATGAAGACCCTCACCCCAGCTCCAGCAGTGGGGCACCAATGTCAGGATCGTGGTCCAGCAGCAGTGAGGAGGAGGAGGTGGAGCAGGGCAGGAAGGGGGAGCGCTGCCAAGAGCCATGCGCAGCACTGCATGCAAGGAAGGCCGGGTTGCTCAGGAGAGATTGTATCTCACAGACTTTCCCACGCCACTGAAAAGCTCTCCAGGCGGGTGCACAGGGGCAGGTGATGCTCAGTAGCCGCTGGTGTGTGACACAAGTAGGGAGCAGGCTGCTCTCCTCCCCGTGGGTGACAGGGCTGTGCATGCCCTGCAGAGTGCTGTGCTGCTGTCCTCACAGCGTCGGCTCCAGGATGGGAAATGAAGCAGAAAGAGACCGCCGTTGGGAGCATTAACAGAGCAAGGGGGCTGCAGTGGTGTGGCACAGCAAGTGGAGAGGAAGTCTAGTGAGGAATTGAGTGGAGATACTTTCCATCCCCAGTCAGCCCTCAACCACAAGGCACCAACCTGCAGCTGGGCCACGGGCAGCTGTGCTTGGGCTGCTCCCTGCCCAGCACTGGCTGTAACCAAATCCCCAGCCCAAGCAGGCAGTGCAGAATGGAGATACCAAGCACAGAGTTCACGTGTCACCCTACGCCCTTGGATGTGCTGTGTTTTCAGGACTCCTACTGTGCTGATGCATGTGGCAGCACCAGCTGCTTGCAGCCCTGAGATTGTGGTCGTCCCATGCACTGCTCACAGCCAGACATGGATTTTCTAATGCTGCAAGATGCTACGCCAGGCCTCCCTAAGACAGGAAATGCCCCGCACTGTGGGCACACATCCAGCAGTGTCTCTGGAAGCACAGACACAGGTGTCCCCTACAGTGCTTTGGGGCCGTGCTCACAGAGCTGCTTTTGGTGCAGGGCTGTGTCTGAGATGGAAGCAAACAGCAACGCTGTGGTTAATGTGGCACCGGGTGCTGCGGAGACATGCAGTTCCCGAGGAACCTGCTAGATGGCATAATGTCATGATAATAAATAATATCGCTTTATTGCAATTGATCCGGACTTTATAAATGATGTGGGAAACAAGTAAGTGTACTTTTGTACCTCTTACTGCACTAAGAAGCACTGCTCCCATTCTGCAGAGCATTCATTCAAATGTGACGAAGTGCCACTCTCACTCTCTGCAGCTCCAGAACGGGCACCTTTTCTGACAGAGGATGCGATACACGGCCCGAGGAGCTCCACCACGACCCGGAGAGCAGCTTCCCACAGCCCTCATAACGTACGTGAGCGTGTTCACATAACCTCAGCCAGAAGCTGCCAGGGAGCTGCTCGTGTTCCGCCGCTGCACACCAACAGCGCGAAGCATTACTCATCCGTAACAGCCGGGCTTCGCTGCAGGCACCGCGGCCGGACTCACCGAACCGGAGGGAACGCGGTGTCGCAAGAGCGCGGCCGGCAGCGCACGCTCACGCGTGGACGGGCGGCAGGGCGGGACGCGGCGGAACGGTCCCGGCTCCCCCCGGCTCCCGCCCCGACTCCGGGCGGGGCCGACGCCGCCCTCTGCCCGCCTCTCGGCGGGGCCGGGCCCGGGGCTCCGCGGCGGGCGGCGCAGAG